GGTTCCCCCAGGGCAGGCACTCCCTTGCTGTCAGTTTCATGTGTCCTGACGTAGCAGCCTTCGGGCGCGGGGCTCTGCAGCGCCACAGCTGGCTGGATTTCCCCTGGGCACTGCGCTCGGGGAGGAGCCGCGCTCGGGGAGACGAGCCGCGCTCACCGTCGGCAATGAGGTGCTCGGGGACATGCAGGGTGATCTTGACGATGAGCGGGCAGCTGATGTGGGACGAGCAGACCAGGCTGAGCACGCAGCTGGTGACGCTGATCAGGGTCAGGGTGGTCTTGTTGACGGGACTTCTCGGCGAGCCCACTGAAAGGGCAGAGAACAGAGACGGACACCAGAGACATCAGAGTCACGGCAGAATCCGGCCACCTCTAGGAGCCCCCCAGCTGCCCCTCTCCCATCTGCTGATCATGCAGAGCAGAGAATACCCTGAACGGGTTCCTCTTCCCCGGGAAACTCTCACCTCTCTACCCGGCCCACCAGATCAAAGGGATCTCAGTCCAGGGAGTCTGCATCAGTCTCCCTCTCCTTCGGGGTGGCTTCAGGCTCTGGGGGAGGGCAGCTTTGGGGGTATCAGAGTGGCTATGGCCTGGATCTACTCCCACAAGCAGCCACGTCCTTTGTTATTAGCAGACCCACGTTCCCACGGGGGACCGACGGCGCTCGTTTCGCTGGGGGTTGGAAAGCTGGTTGATCTGTCCCTGTCTCAAGCACACGCGCGGGAGCAGCAGCCTCTGTCCGCCCCTGCAGCGTCTGACCTACTCGCTCTCCGACAGCTGGCACAACGCCCTGGCAGGGGAAGTGGCAAGAAGGCTTGGGCAATCAAACCTGAAGCTACATGAGCCGGAGGTGGCACCAGCTTCAGAATCTTTTAGAGCTGTGCGCGCGGTCCCAAGGGCTGCCGGCATGCCCGGCCCAAAAGATGCTGTTTTGCTAAGAGTCACAAGACCCATATTGCTGGAGGAACCAGCTGGCTTGGATTCCCAGCACAGAACTCCATCTTAGCCCCCTCCAGCGCCTCTTGCCCCACTGCACAAACAACCCCACCATTCACTCATCTGCTCCCCGGAGCAGTATAGTAGAGAGGAGGGACAGCCAACACGCTGCCCTACAGTGAGGGGCAGGAGAGATTTTGGGAAACCACCAAGGTTCCCTATAAGCTGCATGCCCATGCAGACCTTTTCTGAGCCCCACCCAGAGGTTCAGAGCTCCCCGTGCAGGCAGGGAGCTCAGCTGATCGGCTGGGGAAGGAGGAGCCCACTCGCTCCCTCATGGTGAAGGAGCAGAAGCAGCAGCAGCTGCCTGCTGTATTGGCTCCCCTCTCTCCTCTTGGCCTCCCTCC